GGAGGTGGCTCGGGAGGCTGTTGCTTTGTGTGTCCCAGCCTCTCCTGTCCTCCCTGTGCCCTGGGTCGGGGCTGGAGAGCCTTTGCTCTGACCCATGCGGCTTTCTGTACGAGGGATGCTGGGCTGCTCTCCTCCCAGCTGACAGGCGTGCTCGCAGGCTGATGGCGGGGCTCTGTGTGCGTCCACACGCTGCACCAGCCCCTGTTTGACTTCCCTCAGGCTAACGGTACCGTGGGGGGCCCTGTAACCCTGAGCCCACCTCCTGAACAAGAGGGGAAGGAGTCAGAGACCCCCATCCACCAGCACAACCCCCTCCATCCTCACCACCACCACCGCGAGGTCGGAGGCGAGAGAGCCACGGACCCGAGCGGGGACCATGAACCTGCCACCCATGCTCATCGCCACCACGGAGACCACGGCCAGCCCCATCACGAGGGGAAGAAGCAGAAGGAGGGAGATGAGCGCTAAGCCAGGCTGGGCAGCCTCGCAGAACCCGGTAGCGCGCAGACCGTGCCGACTCGCTTCCCAGAGGTGCGACAGGACTTGCTTTGGGCTGCTGGTTACCAGCAGCGTTGGTGTAACGACCTCCTCCAGCATCCCTCATGTGGGTCCTACTCCCACGCTGCGACCAGGGATGAAAATCTCCCTCGGCTCCCCCCGAAGCGCTGCATTTTCAGCCCCAGGGCTCAGTTCTGAGCCTTCCTCTGCCGCTGCCTGCCTTTCCCTGCTCAATGACGCCCGCCGTGCAAACCGGGAGGTCCCCGGTCGCTGCTGGCTGACACTGCACGGAGCAGCAGGGCAGGGACGGAGGGGCCAGAACTGGGAGGGGAGCACCCCTGGGTGCCCTGGCACCCCTGGGTGTCCTGGCCGGGTAGCGAGGGGAGGGACAGCGTCGGTGAGCGAGGGGAGGGACAGCGTGGGCCCCGCGGGATGCGATCCCAGGGGATGGAGGCACTAGGAGCGGTGGGAGGTCGCAGCTCCCCATGGTCTAAACCCTGTACCCCCACAGCTGTCACCCTGGGGACCCTCCAGGCCTTGCACACGGGTTTGTGCAGTGGTGATGGGTGGCCGCAAGATGGTGGCCTTGTCCCCTCTTGGAGACCTGGGGGCTGAATCCAGGGCCTGGTGAGGATCCTGGGGTCTCTCCTGGGGGAGAAGCGAGACCGGCGGGGGGAGCGGGTGGCCACGGATAAAAACCC